CAGGACTTCAAATTGAATTGAGATCCTCTAGTCAATACTCTAGAAAAAGATGAAAAAGTTCATCAGCTATTTACAGTTAATTTGTACTCCTAATGTGTACATAATCTTACCAGGTGACCCATATAAAATATGGTAATAAATAATAAATATCACCCTGCTGCTTTTGGCAAGGAATAGCTAGGTGTAGCTTAATAGGTCTAAATAATGAAAATGGATTGTAATCCACAATTTGACATGCTGAAGATTCAATAAGAGCTCAAATATTGACTGAGTCTTTGAACTGTTCATTAAAAACTAATTGAGGACCTTCTCAGACCAGTATACTTAACTGACTTTTTAAAACCAAAGCAAAATAGTGATTAAATTTGATAAAGCAGTAGCTCCCTGATTATGAAGCAAGGCATTTAAATCGTGAAGAGGTTAATTTTGAGTACATGACCAATAAGTATAGTAGAAGCAAATCAATGTGGAAGAGTGAAAGATGCTAAATATAAGTTTTATTAGTAACTTTAGTCTTATGTCTGAAAAACTCTATGAAGCAACAGTGGAGTGGTGACTAAGTTAGTTATTTTACCAAGTAGGTAAACTCAGAAGATTTGCAGAAGATCCAGGTCTGACTCTTTACCAAATCTCAAAAAAAGGACTTCTGAGATTTTAAGAGCTGAGTTCAATCATGCTATTAGTTTTTTAAACATTATTTATTGATTGATTTTTATGTATGTGTATAAATGTTGTACCTGCATGTATGGAAGTACACCTGTGCATGTAAATCCCATGGAGGGCAGAAAGGTGTATCAGATCCCCTGAAACTGTAGTTAACAATGGTTGTTAGCTACCATGTAGGTACTGGTAACTGAACCTGGGTCTTCTGCAAGAGCAGCCAGTGCTCTTCATTGCTGAGCCATCTCTCCAGCCACATCACCAGTCTCAACTGTACATATTATCTTCTCTAAGCTACATATTCTAAAGTGAAATGGCACAGTGCAAATTAAATAATATGAAAAACATACTATAGTTTCTGGATCTTTATCACTTAGATACCTATAATCTTTTTATATAGTTACATCATTTACTTTCATTTTTTTCATATACTTCTGTGGAGAATCTGGTATGCAATCCAATTCTATATTTTCTGACTATGCAATCAATAGTCGTTGAATTAATGTGTTTCTGCCTCTCTCTTCCTGGACTTTTTTTTATGATTACTTTGGCATGGGATAGAGCAGGTGGAATCTTCTCAAATTAAATTCTATAAGGCTGTACTAAAGCAGAGCATAGGGAGCTTATCAACATTTGTAAAACAGAACCAAAGGTTATGATGAAGTTCAGGACTAGTTGTCAGTGAAGGAGGAGATAGAAATCATAGGACTAACTTCACATCATCCTTGGGAGGTGTTAGAGATGTGAATAATAGACCAGAGAAAGCTTTTATATAAGTAAACTGGCTTTCTTGGAAAGGGTTAGGTGGAACTTGGTTACCTAACGTCACATTCCTAACCAGCAGGGGAGATAGAGTTCAGCTTTCTCCCACACCAAAAATCCAACATATTTTTTCCTTCTTATACTACTTTTTTACTTTATACATTAAATATTTGAAGAACTGAAAAAATTGGCTAAAATTTCCAACTATAGGCCGTGGTCCATTTGGATGTGTATGTAAACCACTGTGTATATTTTATATGTGTCTATATCATGTCTTTTATCTAGACAACTAGATTACCTTACGTGTTAGAATAAGGCAGGTTCAAACATTGACAATTCCAGAGTGCCCACAGTGATCTCCAGCACAAAGTCCAACTCTGATACTGTTCCCTCTGGCTGGAATATTTGCTCATTTTCTTCATGATCTTTTGCCATCAAATAAGTTCCAATTTCTCTAAGAACTAGTTTAAGATCATTTCCCACAGTAAACTCATCTTAATAGTTCTCAACCCCTTTAATCGCTGGCTTAGTACATATGCTTTAAATATCTTTGATGAAAGAATTGCACAGTTACATAAAACTGTAAAGAAAGAAGAGAAAGATATAGACATACCTTATTTATGTAATAATATATCACTTACTATAAAATATCTGAGATACAGAGGTAGTGCTCTGGAGATTATCTAATTATTTTAAAATTTTCAACTTCATAAACTTCACCAAGCTGCCAAAAAGTTTCTTACATATGTAAGAAGAATAGATAAAATGGAAAGATAATACATGACTTGTGTATTAGTGCTTTGCTTTTTTCTAAAACACTCCATATTTTTTCATGAACTAAATATGATATTTTAGACTAGATAATATCTCACATCATATTGACATACCAGTTCATTGTGTGAGGGTTGGATGGCATAGAGTTGAGGTAGGAGAAGGGGGAATGAATTTCATCAGAAAAAATTCTTGAGACAGTGAATGGAATTAAGTCAAAGAAGTGCTGAAGTGTTGGAAAATAAGAAAAAGTTGTAAACTTCAAATAACTGTTAGCTGACAAAAAGCATAAGACAGGAAGGTTAAGGAGGGGGAAGCTCATTGGAGAAGGAGAGCAATTTAGAGACTAGGGGGTGAGAAGAAGGGCATGAGGAAGCTGCTTGGTTGGTGGCTGTTTGGGAGTGATTGAGATGCGAGCTGAGGTAGCTCGTGGTTTTGTGGACTTATTCACATTCCAAAATCTCTGAGAATGACTACACCAAAGATTTACATACTCTAAACTTTTGTTTTCTTTATTTTTTTATTCTTCTGATTGAAAAGAAAGTTTAATAATAAAAAACAAATACATATGAGTCTAATCAAATATTGCAAAATTCTTATTTTAAAAATTATTTTAGTGCAAATCTAAGGTAGACTAGGACCACAAATTAGCAGAAAATTAATTTATGATTGATATGACATTGTTTATACCATCAGAGTAGTTCTGAGAGGACAGACTCAGATGGAGTCAGATGGGTTGGGTACACATCATAAACCCACTACTTGTCATTTATCTTTCTGGGGCAAGTTGCTTGACACCTTACTAAAGTAGAGGTAAAACAACATGTAGCTCACATGAGTGCTGTGTAGAGAAAATTAGCCCATGAAGATAAAAAGTACTAGAGCAATCCCAGATGGAAGAGTGTCTCACACAGTATAGATATACATTAATGGTGACTAATGTCATTAACACAGGAACATGATGTAGAAGAATATTTATAAGACCAACATTTATGTCATTTGTCCATTTTAAAGACCTTGACAAGAAACTCCAGTGGACTTTCATATGAACATTTGAAAATTGCCCTGTTCTGACTTTTTTCTAGTTCCCTATCTAGAACTTGTAAGGCTAATTACTCTTGCCTTTACTTCTCCTTCACATCTCCTAGCCATGATTCAAGGACTTTCTTCTTCCCTTAAAGACAAGAGTTAGGCAATTTGGGAGTCTTTTAGACAGACCCACTGAAGGGGCACTCCAATTGCTTCACCCCGCATCCCTGTTCAGCATGGAAGAAGCCAGAGCTGTCTGCGTCCCTATTCCCTATTGGCAATTTGGGTAACCCCTTCAGGGGATGGTGTGATAAGAATAGGAGGTAGGAATTGGCTAGGCATTTAGGGTAAAAAGACCCCAAAGGAAAGTAGCCAGTTTCTTGGCTAAAAGTCAAAATGTCCTTGGGCCTGTTAGCAACATACTCTGTTCCAAAGGCCAAAAATGTCAAAAGTATTTGGGAGCTTGTATTTAATCCTTAAAAGATTTTAAGGTTACCTCTTCAGAGGGGGGAATGTTGGAGGGGAGGCAGTGGGAATGGATTTGATCAAAACACTGTATACACATGTATGAAATTCTCAATAAAGTTTTTGTAAAAATTAAAAAATAAAGATATCTTGAGTAACAACTTTATCTTTACCATGTGTCAACTCCTGAGGATAAAGCATAAAGTATTTATGAACTAAAATGTCTAATGGTCTCTGTAAAACATCGAGCGTAAAGTATAGTCAGATAGAACTTTCTATCAGAAGTAATGACAGAGACCAGCCTGGCACAGGTGTAGAGCTGAGACAGCCTAAGTAGTTAGAATGTTGCATGTATCAATTGATTTTACCCATTTGTAATCTCAAATAAGCTTTCTGCAAGAGGAGGTTTCAGTTAAAGTAAGGCTTTTAAAGAGTGACTTTACTGCGCTGTCACTGAGAAAGAGTTCATGGAATGTGAATGTTAGACAGCCAGGTATCAGATTCGGCATGATGTTAAGAGGAAGGGAAGAGCTTCCACTGTGTTCTCAGCTTGAACAAAAGGCCTCTCCAGCCTTGCACTGAGATAGACCCACCTAAGTCAAATCCTTCCTTTGTATCTGAGACAGTAATTTCTGGGCAATGATCACTGAATACTCTGATGACTTATTTCTGGCAAGATTTTGCAATAATCATATGCTTGTGTAGCATACAGCCAGTAATGAATAGTTTTCCAAGGTCTTTTAGCATTCTCTGTTGTCTCCAGTCTGCATATGAGGAGTTGTACAGCCATTACACTACATCATAATTGTGATAAAAAGACCATGAAGAACATATGTGCATAGTTATATAGAAATGATGCATAATTAAAGTTTAATATTTGATATAAGAGAGCTGAGATGGAATATGAAAGATCCAGATTGAATAATGTTGTGTTATCAATAACATGAAGGTTGTTTTTAATTGTCTGAGACAGGAAACTTTAAATCAAATTTTAGAGCCTACACATTAAGAAGACAGCCTTAGGTTTCAAATTTAAGAACCAGAAAGAAAAAGAAATGCTCTTTTAAGAACATGTAGCATTTCTGTGATATACTGACTTAAGTCAGGTGTTTCTTACCCGCCATGTGGGTGCTCAAGTCAGGCCCTCTGTGGGGGCACTCAGAGCTTTGAACCACTGAGCTATCTTTCCAGCCCTCATTTCAGATTAACTTAATTCTCTGAAAATATTTTTATTTAATTGTGCACTTTAAATCTAGTAAAAAATCATATATGTTTGGTTCTACACCATATTTCTTTATTCATTTATCTTTTAGGTTTATTCCCCGCTGTCCTGAACCTTGCTTCTAATGCACTCATCATGACCAATGCAACTTGTGGGGAGAAGGGACCTGAAATGTACTGCAAATTGGTAGAGCATGTCCCTGGGCAGCCTGTGAGGAACCCTCAGTGTCGAATCTGCAATCAAAATAGCAGCCATCCATCCCGTATGTATTTTAATATGTATTTATGTGGCAATGGATAGAGTCTATGACTGAAAGATTTTGAGGCTAGGTTATATTAAATTCAAAAGGCTTGTTATCCAAGAATTCCTGAAATTTCTTTTGCTATGAACTTCTTTATGGACCCACTTTGTCATTCTAGGACATTTTAGTATCAGTCTGCAGTATACCAGGTTCAGTTATATAGGGGATTCACTAGTTGAAGTCCTGTGGCAGTCAGTAGGAATGTGGTTATTCACTAGGGCTTTGGTTGGTCATTGGTTACTTATTTGCCTGGTATTGTTATTGAGATCCAGTGGGAATCAATAGGGTCCTTGCCTTCAATTAATGAGCCAGGAGGCTGGAAACTGGCTATTGCTATGAAGTGCAGGTCCTGAAGTGAGAGAGAATGGCATAAATCCAGTCCTGCTGTAAAAGAAAGTTTGCCTGATGAAGCCATAACAAAGCTGGTGAATTAGCTTAAGTATGAACTGACAAGGCTAAGAGAGAGAGAAAACAAGAAGGAAAATGTGAAACACATGAGAGAGAGAGAGAGAGAGAGAGAGAGAGAGAGAGAGATGACAGAAAAGCTAGTGCGAGGATGTACACATAGTCAAGAAGGTTGGGCACTGGAGATGTTGGAGGGCTGAATGTTGGGATAAATGGAGTAAAGAGGCTGGAAACAGGATATCAAGAGTCTTATGAACGATAGGAAGAGAGGCCAAGGAGAGGTGCATGCAGAACCCTCTTGTTGGCCCCTATGAACCATGTAATTTTTCAATAGAATTTGAGAATGTGCTTTGATTAACACACCATAGTGGAGCACAATGTCGTCACATAAGTCTAAGTTAGAGGAATTAGTGAGGAAATCAGGTAAAGAGAACAATAGATTAGAGACTAAGAGAGCACTCCAAGACCTAGAGAAAAAGTAACCCAGAACAAAGAAGTGAAAGTTAGTAAGACTAAGTAACTACCAAAAGAGACAGTTCATGAATTTCGAAGATGTGAAACGGTATATTGAGAGAACTGCAAGTAATTTGGTTTAGTATGTAAAGAATTTGTATAATAAAGGGAAAAGGTGATTTTAAATGGTTTTAAAGATGGAATTTGACTAAGATATATTTTAGAAAACCATTATGTCTGCATCTTGATTGATTATCTATACTTAATGGCAGTTGAGGAATGGAGATAAAATTTAACAATTATATAATATTCAAATTTAATTCATTTTCTTTCTCTCTTATATACTACTTTTCGGAAGAGTTTTGTGTTTGCAGGAATATAAAGACTAAAGTACCAGGATTTCCTGTATATCTTCTTCCCCACTAAATGTGTAGCCTTATCAATGGGTACTATTCCATCTAGAGTGATAGTTTCCTTTAGTTGGTGAACCTACATTGGCGTGTTATCATCCAGAGTTCACAGTGATGGAGGCTCACTTTTACTGATGTACATTCTATGGGCTTGGACCAATCTATAGGGGTATTTAGCCATAATTCCATAACCTCGGACAGTTTAATTGCTCTTTTTTCTTAATGGAAGATAAAGGAAGAAAACTTTCACATTTTTTTTAATTTCAGAAAAAATGAGAATATGCAATGTGCAATTTTTTCATTTAGTAGTATTTAGAAGTATAATAATTACCTCTATTATATCAAATTTAGGGATATAGAAAATTAAAAATATTTTGAGGCAATATATATCAATATATAGATACTTCTATGATATAAATTTGAGATATCAAAGAATATATGGAAAATTAAAGGACCAAAGAGAGCATCCATGGAAAACCAGTCCTATCCATTAGTGACTGGCTAATTTCAAAGGTACACGTTATTGTGTGAGCATAGAAGTGGAGAGTGTGGGCACATCTCAGGCTTTGCTGTTTCTGATATGGGATCTTAAGAGCCAAACACCCGTGCCAGAGCGCCAGAGAAATCTTAGCAGATGCAGGAAATTACTGCAGACAATCTAGGCAGAAAATGAAGAGAGACAGATTTCAAGTAAGGAAATTAAGAGAATGTGATATCAAGTTGAGAGCAAGGAATTTTCAGGAAGAAAGAATTACCAATAATCTTTTCTGCTTCTCAGACATGGATTAAGAAAAGTATAATCTAGTATCCCTTGATTATGACAACATATATCTCTTCTGGTCATCAAAACTACAGTGGAGAGTTGACAGCTTAAGAGCAAGAAGAGGGGAGTGTAAGGATGTTCTGCTAAGTGTTCTAGTTGTGAAAGAAAGCAGGGGGCAGCCACAGGAAGCTGCAGAGGTGGGACGGTTTTCACACACAGGAGACATTCAAGCTAAGGGGAAAAGCCGGGACTTGGGAGAAGTGGTGATGGAAGTGATGAGGCAAACCACACGGACTTCCAGGTGTTGCAATACATGCTTGTAATTCAAAACCACAGGAGACAGAGGCAGGACCATCACAACTTCTAAGCCAATGTGGCTACACAGCAAGTTCTAGACCAACCAGGAACACTGAGCCATGCACAAAACCCTTTGTGAAAAACCCTAAACAAATAAAAATGGTCACCAGAAAATTCCTGGATCATTTGGTAAAAGTATAAAAAATTAAATTATCTCACATTCTTATATGGAATATTACAAATAAAGGGCATATGCCAGAGACCTGGAGAAACTTAATGGAATGGAGAAATTACTGTGGGGAATATAGGCAGGTGATGAAGAGATGCACATTTCAAGCAAGGAAATGAGAAGAATGTGACATAAGGTTGAGAGTAAGGAATTTTTAAGAAGAAAGAATAACCAACATTGCATACACACTGTATTAGTTACTTTTCTGTTGCTGTGATAAAACACCGTGACCAAGGGAACTTTTAGGAAGAAGAGTTTATTTGAGCTTATGGTTCCAGGTTCCAGAGGGATTAGAGTCAGTCATGGCCAGGAAGCATGGTGAGGTGGCTGGAGCCGGAGAAGAAAATTAAGCACTCATATCTTCAAGCAGGTACAGGAATCAGGGAAACACTGGAAATCCGACTAGGCCTAGGAACTCTCTAAGCCTGCTCCCAGTGACTTGCTTCCTCCAGCAAAGCCACGCTCTCTAAACCTCCCAAAACAGTGTCACTAGGTCAGGACATTTACCAGTGGGGGAATTCTCATTCAAACCACCACATGCCCCTTTCAAGTGACTAAATGCGAAAGAAGAATGATGATTAGTGTCAGGAGGAATTCTGGTGTGATAATCTTGACTTCCTTATAAAGCTCTGAAGCTGGATATTTGCTCAGGAAAGGGAGGAGTATTGAGAATAACTTTTTACAGGTCTCCAAGTTGATATAGGAGCCAAAATGAGAATAAGATAAGAAGCCATACAGAGTAAAAGAAAACTACAAACATCTGGACAGACCTTCATAGAGAATGCAGAGGGGAAATTATATATATATATATATATAAATCAAGAACATTGAAGCAAAAGCCAGAAAAGATATGGACTGATGGATGATAACTTACGTATTCTCTGGGAAGGCGATGAATTCCGATGGACAGAAGTCATTCTTCAGTTAGGGACTGCTGGCTTAAAGATTTCATTAAGAAGGTGAATGTCTGGAAGCCTTGGCATGGTGGCAAGAAAGCAGTGGAGGTGTGTATGGCAGGAATGTACAGTGGGCTTAGGAGAGGGTCAGCAGAGAGAATTAAAAAATAAAATATGCCAATATCAATGTGTTTATGCTTTTGTTCATATGTATTAAATATTAAAAATCATGGTATGTTCCATTATAAATTATACTGTTAACTATACAAATGTATTTATATATGTAAAATGTATTTATGTAAAAAGATAAAGAAGTTTCCATCAGAGAAAAGGCATGAATAATGCAAAAATTGTGATGAAAGACAGTTGAATAGAGACTCTTATGTGGTGAAGTGGATGATGGGCCCTTGCCTAGCTGAGTTTGCATCCTATTCTATCACCTGTCCTCTTCAGACCTCTGTGTTCACACTCTCTTGTATCTCAGTGGACCATACTTTTGGCATTCACAGACCAATTTTTTTTTTTACATTAAAGCCAGAAATGATTCTTTCAGTGAGGTGAGCTATGCATGTCCCCATTTTTACTCACCTGTGGTCTTTTAAACATGCCACAGCTTGGATTTATTTCATGTTACTTTTAAGTGTGACCAGCTTCATTACATTTCAAAACCAATTTTGATACTGGAAACTCAGAAAGAATAAACCCCAGCAAGAATAAAAATTTGGCAATAAATTAAGTGAATATGTTTGAGTAAAAGTTGTAGTAACATGATAAATTTCCACAAATTCAGTGACCTTCCAGAATAAATCTGGAAGGTTTGCATTTACTTACCATACAAAGAAAATGGAACTTGAGCTTCCTGGCTCTCATTATTTTGTGCTTCCCAATTAAAAAACCATCAGCTGAAGAGGTTTACCTCATCATTCCTTAGCCAGTTTTCAATGTGGCTAGCCCTTGGCTTGACTTAGAGAGTTTATCTTTTTATTTTTGAAGAAATGTTTCTCTCTTCTTTTAAATAAGGGAACTCTGCCAACAATTAATCAGTATTTGAAAATTAATTATGATTAAATAGTAAATTGGAATTATGGTTAGTTGTTGATTCATCTTTCTGTCCTTATCGTGGCTAATTCTCACATCAATTTGACCTGAGGTGGTAGATATCAAAATTTCCAATTATCTTCCCTCAGTAATTGCCTAGGAGTCATTAATTCTGTTGGGAAATGTGTTCACATGTGTGCTTTGCTACCACATACAAAACAATGAAAGATGCTTTAGGAAAATTTTGCAGGAATGTTTTCTATGACATTTATTTTTCTGTTCAAATAATGTCAACAACATTTCATCTATTGTTCTGACTCCTAAAATGCCTGTTTCCACATCCACTCATACCATGAGGGGTGTTTGTGGATATTTAGTTATGCTTCCTCTATTTGCTGTTGTTATAGAGTGACACTTTCCTTGACTATAAACAAATTCAACTAGCACTAATTATTAAATATATTCTGCAA